TTTAAATTTAAAATTTTTAAATATTATCATACTTAAAAAAAATTGTGCCTATTGTGTTAAAATAATAACCACTTAAAGTTATTATTTACAAATAAATAATATTTTAATAATTTTAATATCCAAATTATAATTTTATTAACTACTTTTTTTTAACCCTAGTACTACATTAAATTTTAAATAATTTTAAAAAAATAAAAGAAACCGAAAGGTGTCTATCATAGAACAAAAAAGTTCATATGATTGGGAATCAAAAGTTTGAGACTTTAAGCAAAGGCGATTAAGAATATAGAATGTGAAGGAAATCAAGATCGCTCAAGACCATAAATGGGGTTTGGTGTTTTCTCCTAGAGATGCTCTGCCAGAAAATAGATCAAAGAAGAGGAAGAAAATGGATAAACAGGGGATGACCCAGATCGATGTTGTGGACCTTGAAAGTGATGGGCTCCGCTTCCGACCCACTTCCGGCAATGGCAACACGACGAACGACGCCATCTCCGTCGAGCAGTATGGCGAAGACAGAGACCTCGAACTGGCTATCGAGGCTTCTCTCCTTGCCTCTCAGAATGAAGAGAGAGACCTCGAACTAGCTATCAGTGCTTCTGTCCTTTCTCACTATGAAGAGAGAGAGCTCGAACTAGCTTTTAGGGCTTCTCTTCTTACCACTGAAAACTTCATTGATCTCGATGGGTACGACGAAGATTCAACGGTGCTTGATTTGGAGCCAGAGATCACTCACCGAAATCGGAGGAAACCCCTCATCAATTTCTCATTGACTGGGCCTGGCGAGTCTTCAAATTCCAAATCTGTCGCCGTCCCTGCCCCCCCCTTTGTCTGCGAAATCTGCGTGGAACCCAAGAGCCAAAACGAGTCCTTCAAAATTAAGGGGTGTTCTCATTCCTATTGTACTGACTGCATGACCAGATTTGTCGCCTCGAAATTGCAGGATAACATCACGGGGATCGGGTGCCCGGTACCCAATTGCAGTGGATTGTTAGAACCCGAGTACTGCCGCCAGATTCTCCCGCCAGAGGTGTTCAATCGGTGGGGAGATGCTCTGTGTGAGGGGATGATTATTGGGTCTCAGAGGTTTTATTGCCCTTTCAAAGACTGTTCCGCGCTTCTGATCGACGATGGAGCGCAGCAGGTGAAGGAATCAGAATGTCCCAATTGTTTTAGACTGTTCTGCGCTCAGTGCAAGGTCTCATGGCACACTGGCATCGAATGCGTGGAGTTTCAGAAATTGCACAAGGATGAAAGAGAGCGTGAAGACATCATGCTGTTGAACCTAGCACAGAGTCAGAAGTGGATGAGATGTCCAAAATGCAGGATTTTTGTGGAGAAGACATATGGTTGCAATTACCTCAAATGCAGGTCTCATTTCTTCTTCTTGAACAATTATCTGTCTGATTTCTTCTTCATGAACAATTATCTAATTTCTTTGCAGTAATTAGCATGAAATTTAACTTCCTTCAATAAGTGGGCTTGATACAAAACCTGTGTTCCAACTTGAATTCTTGAAATTATTGCCTAGAGTTTGAAACTAGATCTCCAGTTAAGTTAACACAGTTAGCTTCTCTTTTGGTGTCGTTTATTCATGAAAGAAATCTACTTTAAGAGGCATGGTAAAGATTGCTGCTTCAAATGATTATTTAATTTTGGAATTCACTAATGTATAGCCTTTTTTTCTTCTGTGATTGTCTTCTGTAGGTGTGGATATTCCTTCTGTTACAATTGTGGTGGACCGTCATGTCCTACCACTCATGTGTGTCCTCGTTGCAGACATGTATAGATATTAATTCAAGAACAGAATTATACTGTGCTCTTGCTTTCAGAAGTGACACTAAAGTTTATAGAAAGGAATACTTATTATGAAGGGCAATAGCCTATCCTAGATTAGGCTATGGACAATAGAAGTTCAATCTCATCTTCTATGTTGAATTTGGTTGCTAATTTGGGAATGATGGTTTATGGTTCTATGTCTTTTGATTGAGATCAATGATAGAATCTTGATTCAAGTATTAACTGGCAATGCTTATTTGAAAGGCTTTAGTAATTTGTAATACTTGATTGGCTTCTGTTGAATCTCATTATCTGTGTCAACTTGGTTGTGACTTTGGCAATGGTGATATGTGATTCTGTTCCTGATTGGGTTGATCATTGATGATAGAAGTTTGATTCAAGTATCCAAAGACAATTCTTACATAGGTGACTTCATGATTTTAGCTCTTGGATACCATCAATGGATGAGGTTTGATTGTGAAAACAGAGTGTAACTACCCGTCTCCACTAGGGACTATCCAGTATCCAGCTTCATAATTTTCAGTTTTTAGTTTGATGCTGAAGTTATCTTGGTAACTAACCTTGCATGGGAGAGCTGAGAATGAAGTTGCAAAAGATTTTATTGTTTTTTGGTATATGTAAAAATTAGAATTCTTTATATTTATTTGAACCTAAGTTATAAGTTGAATCTTTGTTTGGCTTAGTTTCTAAAAATTACCTTCCAGAGGCCTTTAAGAAGACCATTGTACTGATGATCAAACATGAAAAAGAACATGAGTTTCTTTATTGAAGCCAAAGGAACATAGGAGTAGGAAATATATGAACCAACATGTGAAAGAACTGTATGGTGTATGGTACAATATTCTCTCTCTGTCTCTTTTTTTTTTTTTTTCTTGTGGGTGTGGAGGGTGTGGTTTGGGCAGATGTTCTCGTGATAGCTTTCATGCTCTCTAATATGTAAATTTCAAATCTAACTTATAATAAGATGATACTTGTTTGTTGATGAATTTATAATAATAAACAAGTTTGTGACTTTGTGTATACTCATCTAGAAGTGATCTCTGAATAAAGAAAATTAGTAAAGTCAATTACAAAATGGGTAAATCAATATTTAAAGATTAATGTTTTATACGCTAAATTGCACATGAAAAGTATAATATAAGTACTAAAATTGTTAAATTATTATTAATAAAATAATATAAAAAATAATTTTAGAAAAAATATTTTATTATATACACATTGTGAAATGCTAGGAACAGCTCGTTCAAAAAAATAAATAAATAAATAAAAGAAATGCTAGGAATAGAAGCATATTACGTAATAATAGAATTGATGAGAATGCTCTTGTTTAGACAATTGTCTCTCAAGGATGCTGACTAGCGCACATTTGGATTCATCCCCCTCCGTTACATACTGTTAAAAAAATTAATATTCTACGGCTTGGAATGAGACATGCAAAAACTTAAACCCCTTGACATTCATGCTCTGTATTTCTGTTTTCAAACAAATTGATCGCATTTTCATATCATATAGACTAAAAAAAGATAAAAATCATCCTCCATTCAAACCCAAAATTCAAAGAGATTTAAGTTACAAAACCACCACGACAAAAGAACAAGCTGAATTTGAGTGAAAAAAATAAAGAAAATTAATTAAGAAAATATACTAATTCGTAGAATCTAGAAAGGTTCTTATGAACTCAAAAATTTTAGTTCGGAAGAACCTAAAGATATGGGTTTGTTGTGGAACCATACATCCGGGTTTGTCTTAAAATCCAAAAACTAAACCTAGATAGATTCTCTGCATAGCTTTGTAGGTTTGGTTTTTGCCCCTTTTTGAGGAAATTGAAGGAATTTTGAAGGAAATTCGAGAGCAAGAAGAGAATTGGAGGAGGAATCTTTTGATTAGGGATTAATGGAAAAAAATCAATAGAAATTTCAGGAATTTTATTGAGCAGCAAGAAAGATATTGTTCTTCTTGATTTCCGAAGGTAGTAATCGGGTAAGGCAAAATTATTGTTACTTATTGGTGCCAATGCCATACAATACGAGTTTCACTCTTTCAAAGGATAATGTAGCAGAGAAGGC